TGTCCGGTGCTGATACGCAATTAGAGGAGCGGATAACGTTTGAAAAACTAGATGTCCGACTGAGGCGAGTGGACAGCTGACTCACTGAGGGTGTCGTGGTTGCAATATTCGTGACTATCGGATTCTAGGTTTAGAGCAAATGATGCAGGCTGTTGCACTCCGGATAAAAGCCATTGCTTTAAGTACGCAATCAATTAAAATCCTGTGAATAAAGGGAGCTCAACAATTTCATTCCAGCATTTGTGTGGCGAAATAACTAAATGGTGGTATTCCAATATATCGATTTATTTCTTTGTAATAGGACGCGTTAGTTGGATAAGCAGAATTGCTCTTACGCGCCAGAATTTATTTATCTCTTGCGGCTGTCATTATTAAAACTGTTGAAAAGGCAAAACGGGTAAATGCTGGGATGCAATTTGACGGCGCAATGCAAGGTCTGTTTGGGCCTGTGAACAAGTCGGCTAGATCAGTGAAGTCGCGCTCCTGTTGGTTGACGAAGCAAATCCTCAGTTAAATGCGTAGTCGCTGTGTGAGCCTTGCCAAGATTGTTGAGACGTGAGAAAACATTTCGGTGGTCAACCTAATAAGGGGGCCGGCGACGCCAAACCGGCATAAGTCTACGTGTCAACCGGGACATAGCAGCAGTAATCTAAACCTAGTTGGCATACGGGGGCTGAAGCTTTACAGACAAAATAATGTAACGGCGTATGCTTGACTTGTAAATATGACCATGAATAACTAATAAATCCTCCCTGGTCAGCCAAGATGTCTTCTGCTTTCCCATGGCTGGGGTGGACCCGGCAGCAAGTAGTGAGTAAACACAGGTCAGTGTTTCGACATGGAGCAATAACGATAATCATGTGGGTGCACTAGACAGATGTTACATTCACCTGACTAGCCTGATGTATACTGATCTGAGTCATCTGCTGATTTGCACTAATAGCCGAAAAACACGATAAGAGACAGTCGGAGTTGCTTTTAATCACAAAACTAGCTCATAGCAGAGTTTTTAAATTCGGTTTTCTGAGACAATTGTGTATATTATACTCAAATAGGGTGTGCCAGTTTTACAGAAATAGTGGAAGCTTTCCGGGGTTCTTTCAACATGTTTAGTCGTAGAGAAACGGGCGCTCAAGAGGTGCACTCTTTAGGCGCATTGCAGTTAAACAGTTAAACTTGGGTTACTTTAACTTATTCAAGTAACCGACTGTTCTTCACTTTTGCTGACGCAGTACAGTGGCTGGACTGTTGAGTATTCTGGGTAATGAATTTCGTACAACTTGCAATGTGGCAGACAATGCTTGCATTTCTGATTCAGGACTGTGTGAAAAACCAAAATAGACAGCTTAGAATAAAGGATAATTTTAGTCCGCTAATTGCAGCGAAGAATTCCTGCCTTACATACGTTATGTGGACTCGCATAAACCGCAACCGAGTCGGCCAACGTCCTATGTAAACAATTCACCTCGAACTTCCAGAGCAGGACACCGCCGCATACACTGTTCCCGATCGTTTGCCACCACCAGGAATTAGCCACATCATGTTTACGACTGCGGATGTTATGAAATTCGAATTGACCTGCGCGGGCATGTCTTTCTCGGCGTTAATAATATTCGTCCATAAGCTTTGAAATTGGCTGCAGTAAACCTGGTGAATCCACTCTGCAAGTCCTTCCAACATAGCCTCGATCAGATGCGGGTGTCAACAATGTAGAAGCAGGGCAACGACACTCCCATCCGTAACGGGGGAAGTCGTACAGATCCAGCCAACTATCGCCCGATAACACTACTTCTGTTGCTCTCCAATTCAAGGAAACGACTGTTGCCGAAGCTCTCCTGAATTAATTTGAAAAACGCAATATCATAGCACAAGAACAACATGGATTTCGCAGGAACCGATCTTGCACTTCAAACTTGCTACTTGCTAGATCCAGTGGGACTGAGACGGTCGACAGCAGCGTAGGTGTTGATGCAGTAAATCTGGACTTCTCAAAGGCCCCAAAGACCGTCTGAACAAATCTACCCCCCTCAAGCTGCAGTGTTGGAGAATTGGTGACCCAATCCTCGGTTGAGTAGGTAACTTCTTGCTTCAACGACATCTGAATGTAGGAGTTCGTGGCGTCAGCTCTGACCAAATTGACATTAAGTGCGGAGTGCCCCCAGGGATCGGTACTTGGTCCACGACTAATCCTGATTTACATAAACGATCTCGCGACAGTCATCACCTCCAACTCCTTACTCTTTGCTGATGATCTCAAGATATGGCGTGCCATTAGAACAACCAGCGATAATGAAGCACTTCAGGATGAACTTGACAGGGTCTAACAATGGTCGACTCAGAACCTGCTTCAGTTCAACGCTACAAAGTGCAAGATATTGAGTATAAGCCATAAAGTCAATTGCGAATACAGACTGGGGGATCAAATATTGCCGCGCACGTCAACGAAATGCAACCTAGGCGTGATAGTGCAGGAAGGTTTGGACTGTTCCCGTTGGACCGAAAAAGCCTCCAAAAGTGCTAACCAGCGTCTTGGCCTTTTGTGGAGGGCGTTCGGGTGCTTTGATTCTTCCATCTTTTCTCAAATGCTCAACGGCTACATTCGGCCTCATTCTGAGTACGCCATCCACGCCTGGCAGCCATGGCAAAAGCAACACCTGACCGCGCTTGAATTGCCACAACGAAGAGCAATTAAGTACGTAAAGGGCCTGTTTCATCTCCCTTACAGTTTGAGGTTGAACACCCTCGGGGTCTACGGTGGACAATATCGACGCCTGCGTAGCGACTTGATAATGACTTATATGATCCTGAGGAATCCAAACCATTGTTATGGTCACCTACTAAAACTGAATCGAAATACCACACTCAGAGGACACCAAATAAAGTTCGCCACACAACACAGCCGGTTGGAATTCCGCCTGAATTTCTTTCCCCTTCGTGTGTCGGAACATTATAACGCTCTTCCCACATACGTTGTTTCCCACGCTAACGGTATTCACACGACAACTGGATGATTCACTTATCCACTTACATAACGCGATATAATCAGAGAAGTCTACGTCAAAAAACGCGAACAAACGGTGCTCATTCTCAGCTTTTGTGCTTTACTACTTCAACGTTGCTGATGTGGAATATCATTCGGATATACTACAACCACAATTACATCAGTTTAAGTAAGCGTTGTCGTTTCTTTTGTTCTTAAGACATACCTACCCCATATTACTTTCCCATATTACTCTAGCTTAACAAGTCAATACGCGTTCTATAATGTTTCTATGAAGAAGGGCATCTGAATCGCCAGACGCCTAAAGTGAGGAATTACACTTAGTTTGCTTTCACTTCAACCATCCCTCGGGAATGTAAAGCAATCGCTTTTTAGCCTGTAAAATATCATTGCTCAATGTTTATAGTTGTTCATTCTAATGGATTAATATAGAAGTTAAAACGGGCAAATTAGTTGCAGTTATGACAGCGATTTAATGCAATTCTGAAGCAGTACCGCTTAATCCACACTAAGGCACAACGTGATTTGTAGCGTTTCAAAACTTTGCAGTTACGTGACATTAACAGTAATATTAGCTGATTTGGCAACATATAAATCTACAGTACACTAATAATTGAGTTAAAGTTAAGTCAAGAACAAACAGATTGCTAAAATACGTGGGGGACTGAAGCTAAGTGCATTTACTTAGAGTTGGCAGAAACTTCAAATCAACAATGAACATTAATTAAATTATAATGCGATTGCTTTGTCTTGTTAGTAATGATATAATTACCGGTTATAACAGTAATAAAAAGTACAAAACAATGATTTATAATTTTTCAATCTCACACACATACAAAGTCTGATGCATGAAATATATGCCCATTAATCAAGGTTCCATCCTGTGCTGCAACAATAATTTGGAATCTAAACCTGTTTCCTTTAAAGCAAAAAAATTTTTTTGTTATAGTTATTGTAATTCAATACGTAACCTATATAATGTACTACATAAACCATGCGCTTGGGGATTATTGTAACCTCAAATCCATTAACATTGCTGTTTTCTAACTGGCTGGGTATAAGTAAGTACATAATGGTTGCTGTTTTGAATTGTTGCATCCTTCTTTCTAAGTATGGAGAGCAAAAGGATTTTGCTAGGAGTAGAGTGCAGTGTTTAATTAGTCTATGAAACAGTCTTACTTGAATTGCATTTCCAAGCACAAAATTAAGTCCTCGGACACTTTGGATGTTCGCATCGTATCAAGACTAACTTGTACGAAACTAAAGTGTGCTGTGTATACAATGGCATCGTAGCAATTGTCTATTTGTAACCAATGTTTCCCTATGCTTGAAACGGAGACTTGTTAGTAAATAGACTTTTATTTATATTTTATTTAATTACTAACAAATGTTTAAATAAAGTACGCACGTTTATCCAGTTGTATTCTATGTCGTTTTGAGAAAGGAAATGCATTTTCTGGATACCTTTTACATTGTGGCTTTACTTTAAACTATGAACGTGGTGTTTTCACATTGAAATACTTCTCTGCAGATGAACGCAGTGTTGTTGCAAGACGCTGAATTTTGTATTGCCAGACCGAAGCCATATGTGTCATTAGATTTGAAGCGACTATTCACCACCAGTAGATTACCAATCGGTGCGTGAATGGGCAGTAGCGAAAGCGTGCATGAAAATCAAATCGGGTAATTCGCTCAATCTCAGTATTACCATATTTAGTTAAGGTGTATTAATAATTCCAAAGCAAATTGTACCACATCATTATCTTATGATGAAGAGCGTGGACACGTTCTGAAATACAGCTTATCGCTAACCTGAACACTGACTTTGAACTATGCTCAGTTCTAGTGACTGGTGTTTATACTACGAAGAGTTGCATCACAGTCGATTGAATCCTTATTAACACTACAACTACTCATTAGAACAAAATATTTGTGTACCAAGGCAACCTTAACACTTAAATAATCGCAACCCATTTTTCTTTGGTTCACTTTCCTACAGGGCAACACAGAACAATCAGTTAAAGTGCATTCCATGTGCTACCTCATCTCTGAAATATTGAGCATCGTTATGATCACCTATCTTGTCCTATGCGCCATTGTTGGATTCATCGCCGTTGGCTCTCTGGTTGACGGTGTTAACTCAAAGGCACAGGACCAAGGCGTGCCAAGCGGGCTTGCGGCATCTGCGATAACCATATTTGCACAAGCGAAATTATTTTTACAGGATTTTATTCAACACGGACGTAACGCTACAGCAGTGGTTATTAACGAGCTTACAAAGGAGATAAAGGTGACCGTAATTAGACTGTGAAATGTCATTCATCTTTACAGCAGAGTACACACGTTCCTGAATCATTGTTTAATTTGGAGTAAAATACGCAGCCGAATTTAGTAGTTCATAGTATCATTTACACGACGAGTTAGCTAGTATTTAACACATACACATGCGGATGAGAAAGATGCAGCTACTTGTCTGGAGTTTCGAGTGGACCATACCTAACATTGTTGTAGTTTCCAATTTGTTTTATAGAAAAAAGTGGTTTACATTTGTTATTCCCGTATACTTGATTTAGATTACAGCAAATTGCAACTCATACATGTTAACAAGCGAAAAACAATGTCTAGTAGGAAAAAGAAAATAACTATTTTACTTTAAAGAAAACCGACGTGTCTAACTCACTTTATTAATTCAAAAATAAACAGGGTTCTGTTCTGCAGTAAATCGACGTTATTTAGTTTATTTAATAGTGATTTCTACAGCTTACTTTGTTTCCGTTTATTTACGATTTATGTTTCATCCAGAAGTTGGCACATCCCTGTACATACTCTCAAAATCTCACCATAGGGCTGAAAAAGCAGCGCTCGACACTAAGCTCGGAACGTCGGAGTTCGGAATTCACTGAATTCGTTGCTCATGTATACAGAAAACGCGTTTCTGAATGCGACCATAACTAATTTCATATAAACATGTCATGCAGTAAGACGGGTGTTATAGGCATCACCGTGATCAAAGTCAATTTGAACCTAACCTAGGTTTTTCCATCCAAATCATAGGACTAAGGCCTAACTTGGTGAGATGACACTATGATGTTGGAAGAGAGTTGCTATGAAAAGTTTACCATAAAGCCTTACATTTCGGTTCAACTATTTTCTCTTGGACTTAGTTTTATTTTCCCGGTAACAAGCATGACATGGAATGACGAACGGATTAGGTGACTGATAAAGTCTTTTAGCATGCTACATCGTTTCTGGACAATAGAGAAGAAGAAAAGTCTTTCCCTTAGGCTGTCCACTTTCAACGCCTAGTACACTCTGGCGAGGATGGATCAGAACTCATAATCCCTATTGCTTCCACCGACTACGTGTGTATTAACAAAATTCGTTTGAAGAACTACTTAGGATACGTTTCGTTGGAGCCAGGCAGCATTGCCATCTTGGCTGTATAGTGGGTCAAAGCTTACGAGGTGTTCCACCTCAGTTACCGCTTACTCAGATGCTAAACACAAGCGGTTAGATGTCGTGTGCATCCAAGGGGGGGAAGTGATAGCTACCGGGCTTAAAAACTTTCACCTACGTATGAATGAGGAATTTGTTCAGGTGCCATGTCTACACTTACCCACCAATAATGTGGACACGGAGAATGAACAACACCACACACACACACAACCACACTATCGCTGTCCTTGAGACCAATCACCTAGCTTCGTCATACGGAACATTTTGAGCATGTACCCTCAGCTTATGTTTACTGTCACTTTGCTAAATGTCCCCAGCAGTTTATCTATAATGTTGATTGCCATCCACAATGTAACCGATTTCGTTACTTTAGCGAATATGAATCAGCAAAACAAAGCTTACGTAATCTTTCCCACGCATTGAAAAAGGTATCGCCAATTTATGGCATGAAGTATTGTTAGGCTATTGGACATTAGTCCGATTGCTCAGGAGCATATTAAAAGAAATTTATATATTCACAGTACTGGCAATTATAACTAATGCACAGATGGAGTTGGATTACGCGGCATGAGATAAGAGCGCTTTTTCAGTTCGGCGTGATTTATTCTACGCTTGTTTGTCAAGCCACGTCAATTCTGCTTGGACTAGGGTTGTCCAAACTTTTCACATGGATGGCTACATTTTATTAAGCACAAATATGTTAAGGCGTAGTTAGTCGAACATTACGAAATAAGGAAAAATGAAATTTACCATAAATCGTTAATGCAACTTTTTGAATGTGAACGGTGTAACTGAGGTCTTGAGATCCATTTTTTTATTGTCTTACTTAAGAAGCGTTTAGTAAAAGCACTAGATAGAACTTTCCGAGTTTGTTAAAATAAACAATACTACGACACTGCATTTTGATAACATTTGATGTCACTGAAGTTATACTCGTAAGGTACTTAATTATTGTAATCTGATTAGTGCCGTCTGCACGGAAAAATCTATGCTTGAATTTATTATTTCATTATGAGACCGCGGGCCGGTTGTAATTTTAACGTAGGCCGCAGTTGGACCACGGGCCGAACTTTAAACATCCCTGCCATTGACTTTAAACTGGTTAAGAAGCCATTCTTTACAATTTCCGTTGGGTGGTCCGGAGGGGTTATCGAAACATTGTTACTAAAAATCGGTTGCTACGTTGACTATCAAAAAGCACTTGTCGTACGTTAGGTTACAGGTTTACACTCCCCGTGTTTACTCTGCACCTGCAAGTGGTAGCTAATAAATACAAGGTAAATTCTACTTGCAGAATAGAGCGAGTGCTGACTGAAAATATGTAAGTGGTTGCTTGTTTCATAAAACTGTCTGTACATGTTGCTAGTGCGAGTGTCGAAAATCAGATTCGGAAATGGTATTACACGGTTGACATACGCAAAAAGAAAAGAGATTTCTACGCACTCCAGGCAGCTGTATAATATTAACAGTTTCTAGGAGTGACCTCTCAGGTTCGTATTATAGTTGCAGTTAGAAGCAGCATGCATGACGTGGAATGTGCAGAATCAAGTAGTCCATTAATCAATAGCCTCGTAATTAGCGACAACGTCTGTTGTATACTCCCAACGTTTCATATATTGCTGGTAGGGGAGATTACGCAATCTAATAACGTAGTTGGATACCCAATGTTTAAGCTGATCCAATTCATTTCGAGCATGCGTTGGCCAAGCTTGAATTGAGTATTCGACAAGGGGAGGAACATAAACATTGGGCATTTGTAAGCCTGTCGCAACAGAATGAATTGTTGCTTACCAGCTTTCAGTGCCTTAGCAAATTGTCAGGAACAATCTGGTCCATCCAGGACTAACGCACTCAGGTCACATTCGATGAAAGATCGCTGCAGTACTTGCGTTCCGAGCATGTAGCAGTGGTTACTCTGCTCTACTTATGCTGAATGGCTGCGAGCATTGGACTGATTATTAATGTACCGTAACCATGCCGCTATGAAGTCGATGGCTGGCCGGCATTCAACTGAATTCTGTGCCGTATCACAATGTTATCGGTTCACACAGTGGGCCAATGAAGCGATCACCTACGCGAGGCAATTGGCAACTACCATCTAAGAACGTCATTGGGCATCTAAGAACGTCATTGGGCATCTAAGAATGTCATTGGAATGCGCAATCGGTCCAACCAGGAGAGGCTGCGGCGACTAGGATTGTTCAGTGGCAGCTATCGCAAACTACGAGGTGACCTGATTATGACATACTTGATTATGCGAGACCCACATCATGTATGCCGCTCTTTACTGCAACTCAGCAGCAATACAAACCTGAGGGGCCACTCATTAAAACTTGCAGAACAATACAGTCGTCTGGAGTGCCACAGAAATTTCTTTTCCATCCGTGTCTGTCACCCGTGGAATGCTCTCCCAGAATCGGTCGTTTCTGCACCGACACTAACAATATTTAAAAGACGGTTGGACGATGCACTCATCCATTTACACTTTGTTACTTAACACTATGTCTCCATCCTACACCTGGAGTTTACCCTGTAATTATTTGTTGTTAACTGTGGGTGTTGTGAATCTAAGTGGATCGCAGGACTGCAGCGAAGCAAACGATAAGTCCTTATTTTCGTATTTAAAGTATTAACTATTTTACTATCCTCTTCATCATAATTGTTATGTTGATATCCCCACCAACTATCCAACGGGGCTTGTAAAGCAACGCTTCTTAACCCGTATAAATTCATTGTTCATTGTTCATTGTACCAAAAATTATAGTAGCGCTAGCATTTAGCAATGCGGCTTAACATTCTCGACTAGTATAGGATAAGATAAGCGGCTCCAAGTTCGGACCTATAACTTTCGTTGACTGAGAAAGTTGGCAACCCAGCTCAAGTGATTTTCGCCGTTCACGTTATACTGGAGTTTGGAAGGCAGTATCCAAGGATCTAGTCCAGGGTTTCTCAAATATTTTGGCCCCCGGTTCACTTTTCATTGTAGCCTCGCCTGGCGGACCCCTTTACATATATTTACCTAAAAGACCATGCTATAATAAAGTACAAATAATGTGCAGTAGATTAATAGTTTTGTTGCTGTGCACTGACTCATCACGGGTGTTCGTGTATAATAACAGAAAATGAAGGAATGTGAGTTCAGGTAGAAGAACGTAGCAAAGTAACCCTTAATGTGTGCAGTGTAATTGTTTCTGGGATGCAGCGATCTATACTTTGAAGCATGGTGTTACTGAGGAAAACTGTAACCTCGTACCTGGTCCAGCTTCTAGTGTTTTTCGATACTTTATTTCTAGAGGTGTAAGGCGAATATACACCATCTCATGAATACGTTGTGTTAAAGGTTAGAAGCACGGCGATAGTTGCCTTCGCAAAGACATGATACGTGTCCTTCATCTAACACAAGAAATCTGATAGCGGCCGTATGTAAGACCCTTCCGCAAGGGAAGTGCTTGACGTCATATCGATGGATTTCTCAAACGGTGGTGATGTGAAAGGAGGAAACTGTGTAGCTCAAGTAAATGTGTTCTTGATCCCTAAATGTCCTATAAGCTTTCCTCATTTTCGCTGGGGAAATACTGAGACAATTTTTCTACCAGATCCTCAAAATGCTACACAATATCCATGGGATCGTTGTACAACTCTCATAAATTGTCCTTTAATGCCAAGAATCCCTAGAGATCTCCACTTTAAAAAAGCTTGCCGACAATTCTAACTTTCTTCTTCATATTTGCATGGTATCCATTTCATTGAATATGTTGGCAGGTTTTTCTTGCGGTTGCAAGTTTAGGGCATTGACTTAAGCATTGATCTTGGACAAATAAGTAAGTTTTGCTG